GTGACGATCCTGGAGACCAGCTCCATCCTCTATATTTTATATCTCTAGAAATTCGAATCTCTTTTTCTCATGCTGCCACGATATTTCTGTTACTTTGTTCTGCATTCCACTTTCCTTTTGCTTTCGCCCTTCTGTGCTTCTCTTCCTTTTAAGTCTCTAAATGTTATTTCGTGAACACACACGGGAGGGAAGTATCGATCCATTTGTTAATGGGCGAGTGCCTTTTAAACGATACAAACGAGAAAACATATGACCTATCTCTCTATATTTAGATATTTTTGGAATATTTTCCATTGAGACGTTTACGAGTTTGCTATTTCTTAAAGCTACGAACAGGGCCAACTCTGTTTTCTTAATATCGAAAGCATAAAACAATTTGAATAATTCTTTTCCTTTTTTTATAATTCAGGTGTAAACGTTTGGGAGTTTAGAATTCTTTCAAGTCACGAGGAAAGACAAATTGTAACCTTTGCATCGAAGTATTTGGATGTTTGGAACTTGTTAAAAAATTACAAGAGAAGATAACTTAATTGCATAAGAATGTTTTTCGATATCGAAAATTGAGGAATTTGAAATAGTAGGACGATGATTAAATAAGGAAATATATAGACAGATACTTCTCTCACAGTAACATCGTAACTAAGAAACCATTAACACGAATAAGTATTTCCCTAACTTACTTTGATACTTCAATTATAGATCAGATAGACTATATAAATTCCATTTACATACATCATACATCTTAACACATTTCACTTTCTACCATCGACAAAACGAGTGGCATAAAACCTCTTCATAGTGCATTTTAAGATTCGTTTCTCTGAACACCCATAATCACTCTTTGCATTCACGTTTGATTCTACCAATCGTTTTTATTAACATTCACGCTTATCTCGCGTTTTCGAGTCAACGAAGTTATCTTTTCCAAATAATCGGTCGTATTTTTCTTTTTATTAGAGGAACTCGAAGTGTCTTCTTTTGATTTTTGTTTCCTTTCACCAGATGATCATTTTTACGTTTTCTATGCCTGTATATAGAATATTGAATAATTTAATAATTTGTTAAACAATAATTGGATAGAATTCTTATTAATGAAATAATTGAATTTAACAATCGATAGTATAAATAAGGAGAATATGGTTCTAGTAATTCGTTAACTAAACATATTTACCTATTATTATTAAATATTATTATGTGTATTAACGATTACTATCATAATGATTAAAATAGCTACATCATGTTATTGGTTCAATGATCATTTAGATTATTCATTTAACTATTAGCCAACAATTAACGTTATTTATTCACACAATCGACTCTGACAATCTTGTACGAATCGTGCTTCAATATCGAATAAATTTATTATTTCAGATAAATCGACCATTTACCAATAATAAAGAAAAAAATTATAGTTACAGTAGTTTTAAAAAAATTCTTTGAGAAGTTACTATCATCATTACAAAAGTTAAGTAACAATTCAATTCTTCAAGATACAGCTGGTATTGTTACTTCAGTCGAAGCTACAATTTTTAAAAGTACTTCTAAGGAATTTCTCTAATGTTTCAACAGCTACTAATCAATAAGAATCCAACTAAAAACCCATTTTCTGTTATCCTATCTCTCCTCGATATTCCATAAATTCTATAATATTTTAATCACATCTAACAAGCAGAAGTCCGCTTTCTATTATCCTGCGTTTCACCAATGCGCGATAAATACTCTAACGTGGCAACAGTCTACTAAACCATACAAATTCAATCAATGATTCACATCTCAATCATCCTGTCTTTCCGCCACGCTCCATAGATTCTCTAATATCGCGTTATAGTTCGATGAAACAAAGATCCAATTAAAAGACCGCTGTCTATCATCCTGTCCTTGCTTAGTACCCAATAAATGTCCTAATATTTCAACAACTGAGAAACAAAACTCCAATTCTCGTTACCCTACGTTTCCTCAATACTAGAGAAACTAAAAGAAGCTGAAATCGTCCTTCGATAAATACGACCATAGAAATCCAACTCTTCATCGTCGTATTTCCCCTCGATATTCAACGAACCAAAAGAAAAACACCAGCTATCCCTACAAAAGTGAAATTTTTAAAAAATCATCGCGCTCTACCGTCGATAAATTAAAATGGACGATTAAAAAAAAGTTAAGATGGATAAGTTGTTAAAAGAACGCAGAACGTCAATGTGGCAAAAATAAGAAATTGACGCTTAACAAAGCAAACCACCGAAAGAAGTCACTTCGAGCTTTCTCCGCCTTGATCGGTGACTCGCGTTCGCCAGAAGCGTTCCGATCCCGGTAATCATCCACTTAAGCGTCGATCGCTGGCATAATCGATGTAAACTCGAAAATTTAGTGATCGGCGATGGAACGTTGCGGGCGTAATTCGGCCGTGGGCGGTCTTGAACGCGGGCCATCGTGTTGTCGACACGCATCGTTTGCCTGGCATCTGCCAATCGGGCCCGGCTGAATAGAATTTCCGATGACAACGAGATTTCGATGTCAGCCGAGGCGCGCGTTGTCAAGCATATATACCCGGGGACGACGTCGCGATAATAGCCGCTCGTATTGTTCACGGATATTGCGCGCACAAAAGATCGTTTCGATTAACCGAACCGAGGCCGGATTACGCGTTTCCCTCCGCGCCGGTCCGCGCTCTGCTCTTCCGCTTTCCGGCCGCGCGCAACAACGGCCAATAATTGTCAGATTTTAAAGAGCAACGATGAGGGCTCGTGTTTCCACGTGGCTTCGCTGCTAAATTTATGGAAATATGCGGTGGGGGTGGCTTGGGGGGATGATGATGTACAGGGTGTTACCCAAACGGTGATACAATCTCAGAATCGTTGGAGTTTCATACTTTGTATTTAACGACGTTTTTTAAGTTTGTATTTTTAATTCTGAAGGTATATTAATAATTGCTATAAATGGAATATTTAGTTAATAATGGAGTAGTATAAATTAATATAAAACATCAAATAATAATAACAGTATAAAAAGGAAACTCAAAAGATATGTTTCTGTTCGGATTCGTATGTTATCGAAGCGTAGACGCTGCGAGAATGCGAGCAGCGAAGACATGTAGAGAATAAGCAACGTAAGAGGTAGATGTTGCGAGGTGAAGTTTAAGTTGTGGGATTTAAGTAGGAGTGCGAGAGATGAGAAGCTTGTGCGTTGGGAAAATAGAAAGGAGAAATGCGATTGAAAGATCGGCCCAACCCGGTGGAGCGGGTTCGTGGGAAAATAAAGCTTCTCGTAGGCTAAAATGATCACGCAACTTCACCTTCTAGAAGATTTATAATTTCGTTGTTAGATTTTTATGCATTTGTGGGAGATTTGAAGGCAGTAAAATGTACAAAATGCACGTGATAAGCGGAAAAGTATAAATAAGTTGAGATTTAGCATTCGTCAGTATTTGGTAAATGAACAATCGTCTACCTAAGTTTCAGTTTTTTAATTAAATTTGTAAGGATATGCCTGTGCAAAATTCTTCGCGTTAGATATTCGTAATAAGACAATTACTACAGGAGATTTTGCTATTCGAACTAAAATCATCTAAGGAACGAAACAAGAAAAGAAAGATAAGGAAAGAGAAGTGTATAGGATAAAAACAAGACAAAACGAAAAACATTTGTACTTCGTTTTTAATATAATAGTTTAAGTTTGTGCAATGGAGTACTTCAAATACGAATTTCATGAATCCGATGATTTCTTCTCTCACGTAAATTCATCTTTTTTCGAATTGAATCACCAGTTTGGAAACACCCTGTATAACGAACGATTGAGAATCATTTGGCGCATTTGTTCGCGGGCACGTAATGCGGATATTGAACGAAAGAGTGGGATAAGTGGTTTAGGGAACGACGTTTTCTGGCGTTTCAAAGCCTACGCGTAATCTGGCTTTTGTTTGCCGACGAATGGGAGAGGTTTAAAGAAATACGGGGGTTAAAAGTTAAGTAAAAGAGAAAGTTGAATAGACAGAGGATAGTCTCCCCTTTGTGCCTACCTTCGAAGGAAAAGTAAAGATAAAAAAAAAGCTGTTGTTTACCACGAATTTGATTAACGTCGTTTAATTTTTAAGGTCTTTAACTATACGGGAAAACAAGTTTGTATTTTTAATTTTGAAAGTATATTAATAATTGCCATAAATAGAATATTTAGTTAATAATGAAGTAGTATAAATTAATATAAAACATCAAATAATAATAACAGTACAAAAAGGAAACTCAAAAAATATGGATACGGTGCGTGATTTTTAAATAACGTTACGTTATAAGAAATTATTTGATTTAAGTATTGTAAATTCTAATATCTATATTAATATTTTCCTGAGTTCTTTTAATTGCTCTAAAATCAAGTAAAAATTTCTTTGTGATCTCGAATAATCAATTAGATTTAGGGAAGTTGTAATATCTAGTTTTCAACAAACTTATAGTTCGATTAAAGAAAATCAATTTTATGGTTCAATGAAATAGAAACGGTAGTAGAGTCAGTAACTTTAAAACTGGTAAAAGGGTCGCCCTTTAACACGCTCAAACTCTGTACGATTATTCACCGGAAGGCGTGAAAAATTCCCAGGAAAAGAACGTGCTCTCCACTCTGCGATTCTCAAATCTTACAGAAAACGGTACAATCTCGGATTCACAGAGGTCGTAAAGATCTTTCCTTTATCGTGAAATCCTTCACTGTCTTAGATTATAGTCTTTAAGGTAAGCTGTTGCGAGTCTTTCTCTTTTTCTTTCCTTCTTCGTGAAAGCAACTGAGCAGAGCACGTACAGATTCACGTAAATAACGATCAAAAATTCCGCGATAATTATATCCTCGACAATATCCTTCTTACTCGAACCGTTTTCGACCACTTAAGATAGATCTGGTTAACCCAAATTGTTCCATAGACCAAGAATGTAACAACGATAATATTCTCTAAAAGTTAAAAGTGTTCTTTAGAAACGAATATCATAAGAATCTATTTTATACGTAAACGAATTGCAAACGAATTTTTGTTAGTTTATTTCAATATTTTTAATCAAAAGTTTGAAATCGCTGTGTGCTCTATAAAATATATGGACATAAAAAGATTGGAGTTAGTTTAGAATTCTATTATAACTTAAAAAATCCTTTGGTCATTCAGCTATATGTCAAGACGTAAGAAACTTGTTTAATATTAATATAATAATACTGATATATGACGTTTCTGGCATAATTCCACATTAATAATAAACTTAGTTTTAATCATTTAAAAAATTGTACTTAAATCTTCTAAAACTAGACAATTTTGTGTGTAGATGATACAAATAAAAAAGTGATGGCAAATTTGTTATATACAAATTTACATTTCATTTAAATTTTAAACTAAAAAGCTAAGAACTACGTTTGAACGAAATTCGCACATTTTAAATGAAAAATTTCTCTCGCCACGTACAACATCCTAACAGTTAACCAGACCTAACTTCAAACAACTAACAATCAACAAATCCCAAGAATTCTCCATCACAGCTCCAAGCTTGATCATCGTCGTATCCAACTGTCTCCAACAACCAATCAACTATATTCGTTCCTTCTGTTGGTTTTTCCAATTTTTAATTGATTCAAACGCTTGTGGTGATTTGTTCGATCACCGTGACGTCTCTGTGCCGTCTTGGCCGACTCCTATAGGAATCCTGATGACTCAGACCCTCTGGAACGCTCTTGCTAGGTCTCAGAGGCCCGTAGAATTGCGGTTGATAGTAATGTTCGGCAGTGTGCATCCTCTCCATTTCTCTGTCGCGAAGATTCTCCTCCATGTCCAAGGGCACGTGTAACGATTGTGATTTTGGCAACCTTGGCCTTGGCGGCGGAGGACAGGCACACGGCGGAGGTATGGTCACGTTGGAGAGGTGCGAGCCAGGAAGTAGAGGAGACGCCGGCTGGCGACCCCAGCCAACCAGGAAGAGCAACGCTGCACCGCACAAGGAACTTAACGTGCACGCGTAGTAACCCACCCTCGAGCTGTTCGCGTTCATGTAACCTGAAATTTAGAAATTAGGTGCTTTTAGCGGAGGTTGATCAACGAAAGAAAACACGAATTTCGTACGTGAGCAAAGAAACGCACTGGAGATGAGTTTCGTGTTCCGTTTTGAAAAATAGTGTTCCTCAAAGGATATCATGAAATTTACAAGTATGGTCGATAAAAATGTTCTGTTTTAATCTATAAACAGGAATTTTGCTCTGGAATTTTATTTCTTGATCCGTGATTTTCCAGATGAGTATCGTTATGGGAATTGGCCAATGAAGGAACACATGAATTTTGTATGGGAGTAAAGAGAATCCATTAGAACACGGTTTCAAGTTCTACTTTCAGGTACAAATATTCCTAAAGAGAATCATGAAATTTGAAAGCTTCGTCCATGAAATATCGTTCTGCTTTAACTGGTAATATTAATCTAAAAAATGAGTATGTCTCGTTATCGGTCAGCGAAAAGAAGCATGAATTATGTATACGAGCAAAGAGAATGCATTAGAGTGGAGTTTCAAGTTCTGCTTTGAAAAACAGGTCTTTTCGTGAGAATTATTTAACTGGGAAATTCCATCAATCAAATTTCTCCGTTTAAATCCGTAATCTAGGAATTGAATATCGTCGATGGGAGGTGATCGATGGAAAGAAATATGAATTTTGTACGTGAATAAAGAGAATTCATCGAGCGTGTCTCTTAACGATTATTTGATAAAATATATTTATTTATGAGCACTACGATTCTTTTCAGAATGTAGAATGAATCATTTTGTTCGATTATTGAGAAATGCTCGATTTCTATTTTACGAAAAATACATATATGTGTATGAATTATAATAATTGGAAGATTCGAATAAAGTGAATAATAGCATTTGACAAAAAGATACGAAAGTAAACGAAAGAAATAAATCTGAAAGAAACGCGGTTTACCAGTAAGAGGAACTCCGAGAAGAATAGGTAAAGCTTCTGCGGCCTGCACGAGTGCCCAGGAGCGTGCAAAGTGTTTTGCCCTCAGTCTTTCGAGGGCCAGCATTTTCAGGGAGTAAAGTGCACCGCCGAGGGATGCGCCGTACAAACCGGAAGCCAGAATCAGCCCGTGGTAACCTTGCACGCTGCCCAAAGCCACCTGAGTTATGGCTGAAAAATGAGCGATGTATCTTCAGTGATTGATCTTGAAGAAAACAGAGAGTATTTTCTTTGATGATTATTGAGTCGAGGAATTCGGAATATCTTTTTGGCCATTAGTTGCGGAATATCTAATTGAATTTTAAAATATTCTATTGTTTAATGTTCATTCGAGAAAATGAAAATCATAAGAAAAATATTTTAATAGAACTTGCAAACACGTATAAGATACACACTGCAAATTCATGAAAAGTGTCTTCATCACACACATACACCTGAATTTTAAATTAACATTTGGAATATCTGCGAGTTTTATATAATTTGAAATTGAACTGTACACCTATTCGCCTAACTTCCAACCGTAAAGAAACTCATCAATTTTTAATATCACCAGGCAAAATAAACTCATCGCAGAAGACATTCATGTTGACAAATTTCGTCAGAGAAATGGCTATAGCAATATTCGATTTTTCCTCAAAACTGTCCTAAAGCTTCCTGAAAGCACCTGATAATCCACATATAACTGCTTCGAAATTTACTGTATAATCTCTTATCTCGTTAATATTTCCCATTTTTCATAATCTTCTCCTTGCTCTCTCCTTTTAACGTTTCTTTCCCACCTCCGCGTGTATCATTTCCTCTTCCAACGATATTTCTTCAGACATAAATAAACAACACAGGAGTGAACATAAATTCCTCCCACCCTCTTCGATCAGCCCCAATCTAAACCATCTGTAAATCGTCATATTTTTAACTATCGTAACATTCCACGTCCATGCACGTCACTCCCACACGGGAAGAGGATAAAGACGCAACGCGACGAAGCTGGCACATTCCTTGCCTGTCCTCTTCGTGTCGTTCGGAGGAAATTGCAAATTCTTTTCGTCGGATGGTTTATCTGTCGCGAGTGAATAGCAGCAACGTTGGCAACAAACTCGATCCAACAGCAGCCACCGGGATAAGCCGCTTTTTTGGTGGGTTGCAACTCTTCCTGGTCGCGCTTGTATATTTAGCTCTCGCTTGTCATCTCCTCTAGCCGTTTCCACGGAGTTGAAAAAGGGACGTTTTCGCGTACACGTGTGTACGCTCGAGCTACACTGGCTTGCAAAAAGTATTTGCGCCCACCAATGCGTTTACTACTGAGTTATATGGCAAAAGAAGGTTTAAATAGGAGAAGTTGGTACAAAAAGTACTATACTTTTATAAAACATGTGTGATTGTATCTGATCAAAGCATTGGATAAATTTAATATATGTAGAGTGCTGTAATAGATGTTAGCGATGTGGTGAAAAATATGTAATGTAAAAACTACTATTAAACGTTAGCAACTTTGAATACATTAGTTAATTGCACTGTAATTGTAGCCAACACGTTGGCTGCCACGCGAATATCACATTTCATATCATATTTTACATCAAGCGTCATATTCGTTATAGTACACGTTTGAATATTTAATTTGAACTGTTATCAGTTACTGCGCCATAATGTTCAATCTTTGCAAAATATCGTATTTGCGGACATTCTATTTGACAATATTATCGAAGCCATACATATTGTTCAATATTTTTCAGTCCATGAAATTTATTTTATTTCAAGCGTTTCAAGAAATTTAGTAGAACGTGGATCACCAAAAACCGACAAAAAACGACAGTCAATGTGTTAATTAGAGCCAACAGTAATAAATTTCGTGTCATTTAGCAGTACTTTCATGCGATTACAAAAATTTGTTATTATGAAAATTAAGTGTAAAAAAAAAAAAATGAATGGTAATAAATAAATTCTTCATGAGAAAATAAGAGCGTGTACAGCTGTGTAGAGATATTTGTTGCAGCCACTGTATGCGTTAGGGTCGTCGACTGAAAATATGGTTCTTCGTTGATTACGAGTTACGTTTTCAGGAATTTTTGCTGCTACGCCCCACGTTTCAACCCTTGTTCCCGTTCATGTGCGTCGTGATGCTCGTCCAGGAATTAGTACGGCTCCCAGCCCGAGTTTACCCGGTTTTATTTCCCTCGTGGACGATATTTACGTTAATGTTAGTGGCGTGAAGTATCTTTTGACGCTTTATTGGTCATACGTGTTTTAAAGTTGTAATTGAAATTTAAGTGGTCGAGGGTGGTTCATTTTTGGGAAAATTTAGAGGCGTGGATTATTCCGAATACCATGATTTCTGCTTTTATAAATATCTTAATTCTCAACTGGTATTGGTAAATTATATTGCAGGATATCTAATATTGATTTCTTCTTATTAGATAGAACATAAGATAGAAATGAAATAAAATATTCTGAAATCAAGCGATCCAATCTAAATTCTTATGGAAATATGAAAAAGTAGATTTAAAGCAATCTGTTGGCTTAGAAAACGATTTCCTTAAAACTCTATCAAAACACCTGTGGGAAATTCTTATTTATGTTTATAGCGTTAATTTCCAATTAAGTAATAATAAAACTAGTAGAAAATTCAATATATCTATACGTAATTAAGAACATAATTTTTCAACCAGTAGTACAGTTACATTGTTTTACAGATTCTGTCGTTTCAAGGCAATCGTAATATCATCCTTTCATTATTTATTATGATCGATATTTATATCAACTTTGTTTCAGCCCTTCTATAATTTGTTACATCGTATCATATTCCATATTTTAGGATATTTTTTAGGGCAGCTGTTTTAAAGATGGAACTCGGATTCGTGTGGTAGAAAGTGATTAATTTCGAACGTTCCGTGAATCGAAGCTTACAACCAAAGTTAATGAATATTTGGCTTCTGGTTCTGCTCGTTTATTTTTTGGCAACATTTCGGTGATGAATATTGAATTCGACGCGCGGTGATTAATTTCGGACAATTTTTTCGTAGCAACCTGCGTGTAAAATAACGTTTATACCGTTAATTATCGTTTACCAATTTACGTATGTTTAATTACTATATTTAAATAAACTTTCCAATAATAACGAATTGATTCCAAAGTAAAATTGTAGCTAAAATTAATATTTGTATCATCGGTGCGTTTCTGAAATATCTTCTGTACGGCTAAATTTTAATATTTAATTAAAAAGTGAAATTTTACAAAGATATTGGAAATATTAATTTCTATAACGATTGGGTCTGTCTCGAAGTTACCAGGTAATTGATGACTCTATAGAGAATAAATGTTATATTAATTTTCATTGGTCGTTAATTGCGCACGATTTGTTTAATGTTCTGCGCCAATGTCTCCGTGCGATTGCTATGAAATTTACGCGTTCTGGCTCCAATAAATGAAACCGCTATTCTATATAAAATCGGTAATTATATGTTAAATATTTCGTGTATCTAAATTATGCATATAATTGCTCACGAAGCGAGATTTATCTAAAAGATCTTTAAAAAGCAATCAAAGAAACGAAAAAGATATTTCATTATATCAACAATTAAATGTTTGTTCACCTTATTTCTTCCATTAATTCTAACAGTGAGTTATTGTTTAACATCAAAGTCACTGTATTTTACCTAATAAAATTACGCTATTTAACAAGAAGAATGTCACAATTCAGAAACTATTTCACAAATTATTGTTGAAGTTTATAACCCGTAATTATCCAATTACGATCCAAAGTCGTTCCGAAACAATTATAATACCCAGATAACATCGCAGCGAATAAAAAATGTTCCAAATCGTTTTTTTCTTCCTTTCAGAAACCTCATCGCTACCGAAACATCTCATCGGATACAAAATAATCGCTTCACGATAATCGTCGTTTCTAGATAATTGGTAACAATAAACCGTCTTCTGACAATAAAACATATTCGTCCACGATCGATCTCATCCCAATTAAAACCAACGGTCGACTGAAATTACAGCAGTCGTCTTCTTTTTTTACCATAATTTCCTCGAACAATGAGTTTCGAGCCTCAGGTTGGATTCGTCTCTGCGTCTCGTCGCGATTCTCAGATTCCTGAGAACGATCCGGATTCTGGTAGAACCGGCTCGGTCAATCGACTGTTCGCCCAGCGTGGGATTAAAATTTCACGTTCGAGCGCGCGGCCGCGATGAAATATTCCGCGCTTCTCAAACATCCACCGAACGATTCGACGATCGCGGGGGTTTCGTTTTTTCTCGGAGATAACCGCGATTCCAACCAATTCCACGTATTTCGTCTCTTAAACTGTACGTAGTGCGATTAAATGCAAGTAGTTTTTTCAAAGCTCACTTTTTCCCATTTTTTTCAGCTCAATTTTTTTTACGTAATTTTCCACTTCTGAACGAGCGAGTGACGAATATCGAACTGAATCAATGGCAAGTGAATTTTGTTATGAAACGACTTTCGGTTCGGTTATCTGAATATTTTGGAATATTTATTTGGAAAGAAATTATTATCCTCTTTCGAAACGACTGTGTTTAGTTGTTTTAGTTGTTTATTTAAACAATTTTTTTGCTCGCGAGAGGAGAAATTATTCTATTACGAATTACAGTGATTTATTTTTTAGATTCTCTTGCACAATGATTATTATTAACAACTAATTAATTAGGCTATCAACTTCGATAGTAGTTGATAAAATTCACTCGTGAAATTTATCGCTCCCGTCAAAAGACAGATTGACTAAGCGTGTTTTTTGTAATTTATGATTGGTGTTCGATTAAAAAAAAAAGAAAGAGACATATGTCTTGCTTATGTAGATGCGTTTATTGCAACAAGATAGTATAAATAATCGTAAATTTCAAGGTAAATTTAAAAATAGAATACTTTTAAAATATTAAAACTACCTTTCTCTATTTTTCAATTTATGAAGCGGGCTGTGTATTTTGGTATTTCAAGGCTTTAAAGTTACCATTTTTGCATCGTGGTTGTAGAAGAGTATCGAGCACCATATATACAACGAATTTTCTTCTTTCCAAAATATCCATTCCAAAATTTTCTATTTTTAGGAATTATATTTTTCTCAAAATTAATAATACGGTCCAAGATTGATCGATTAGAAAACCCAGAAATACACATAAAAATTCTAACTGATTTTCCCATCAAAATTTATCCCTATCGCTTTAAGAATGAGTTAAAATCGCGCAAACCAATCCAAGTCTCGTTTACGTACACCTCGCGAAAATTAAAATAAAATACTACAATAGAAGTCAATGAAACAGCATACCAAGTACCAAAAGAGAACCTCAAGCTGAATTAAACCCCTATTTTACTACCATCCCATTATCCAGCCAATTAGAAGCTCGGATCGAAAATCGACAGAAATATCCCTTGTGGTGGAACCTGCACATCATTGGTAGATTAGTTTCTCCTTCGTTAACGAAATCACTGCGAGCCTGGGCTTAGCGTTGCGTTTTAAATGCGCTTCCTCTGTCCAGGAGCAACCCCATTAACGATTGCAACGATCCTCTTTCCCTCTCTTTCTCTGTCGCAGCGATATTCGTCTCCGTGTGGCCAAAGGAAAGAAAGGAAGGAAGGGACGAGAGAGAGAAAATGTGCGCGCATGTATATGTAACAGAGAGAGAGAGAGAGAGAGGAGGAGAGAGGAGAGTGGCGAAGCCATCGAGGGGGTGACTCGAGAACAGAATGGAAAATACTTTGTGTCGAGAACTCGAGTCGAGGGTAAGCCGGCTGAATGAGGGGCAAAGACGTGTATGCGGCTGACACTCGAAGAGCCCAGGCCGCTTCAAAAGGGTGCACACAACCGGTAGAGGGAAGGTGGACGGGGGTTGAAGTCTACCCAGGACTGAATGGGGGCTATACGTTTAGAAACCTCCGGACGACGAACCTTCTGGACGAAAGCATAACACACACGACGGTCACAAACGACCGTGGTTACCCTTTTTACTTACTGGGTGCTCGAAAATATTTTTCATCGTGGGAAGATGGATAATTTCTCTACAATTATATTTAATTTTCTTCTTCTTATTTGGATCGGATTTCAAGTTCGTTCTGATCGTGGAAGAATGGATAATCTTCCCTGATTGATGCTTAATTTTCTGTTTCTTGTTTGGATTAGATTTAGAGTTTGTCGCTGAGTTGCATAAATTATGGACATTTCTAGAGAGATTTTGATATGGAGATTCTATCGATAGATCGGTTCTAGTTTAAATTTTATTCCTCTTATTTGAATCGGATTTAGAAATTGTCAGTGAGTTGTACAGAGTTATGGGAATTTTTAGGGAAGTTTTGCGTCTCATATAGAGATTTTATCGATGGATCGTTTCTGTCTATGAGATAATCAAATCTAGAATATTGCAAAGGATTAGCTGAAGTTTGCTTGATGTATAATGTACACAAGGTATGTTTGATGCGGGTAAGAAGATTGTAATTTGTAATATATTATACTATAACCGTATACATGTTAGAATTACAAAATCGAATTACAAGGTAGGAAAATGACGTTCTTTGAGAACGCGACTATAATACAGTAATCAAATTATATGCTTTAAGAGAGTAATTGCAGGATATTGCTCGCTGTAGTACAATGTATATCACATTTCGTATATATCCTCTTCCGAGCATACCTTCAGTTGTAGCAACGTCAAACCTAGCGAAACACCGAAATTACAGTTCATACTGTTTGAGGTTGCGCGCTTAACTCCTGCCCTTTTGGGATAGAGCTTCGTCGTTTCGCGAATAACGTAGCAATGTTGCGAGGTTCGGTACTAGAAACCATCTGAATACAAGCTGCCATCTGATTAAGCTTCCTAGGTTGTTATAATCGTTGATAAAACGTAATAGATACACGTTCAAAAACCTACAATGTAATATCACACGAATGGCTCGAATTGCTTTCCACTTTTGTTGCGAAACAATTTTAGAAATAAATTCACGAACTTAACAAGTGATATAGAATTTGATGTGCTACGGTTTTAAAGTTCCTCAAAATACATTTCCTCTAAATTTTCGCAAATTCGCAAAATTATCTAATTTCAAGAAAATTCTTACGAATCTCTAAAATTCACACCTGCGCTTTGTCGCACGATTAAAGTAATATCAGCAAAGTTTTACGAGTCACAGGCTACACATTCTAATACTCTTGCATAATACCGACAAAATTTGATAAGGAAACGCATGAAATTCACAAGTAAATTCTAAAAACTTCAAATAATCTGATTGTTCCCCGAAAGGATGATAAAATTATACAGCAGAATTCCATAATCTAAAACTTGTGATTCGTTAATCGATATTATTAATCGTTAAACCACTGTACAAAACGGCTTCAGAGTCACACTCTCCTCGAATCTCTCGAAACTTCCAACGAAATTACACTTCGTTTCACGTTCCTCCAAAATTCCCTCGATTTTCATTAAAAGCTCGATATTCTCCATCCAAGGCGGATTTGTGGATAACGTCATCTCGCTCAAACCAAAGCAAACTCCTCGACACCGCAGAACGCTCCTCAGTCACGCGATCCTCCATTCTCTCTGTCTCTTTCTCTCTCTCTGTCTCTCGACCAAACTACCTTCCCTCGCGATCCGCAACGCGGTTCGAGCACCCTCGCCACAACAGCGTAACGCGTTGTATACTGACCAACTCCGAGTAGTGCTGCCTGACAGAGACATTGCCTGGACACTAGGCATTGGGCAGATGGTCTCGCGGTAACGACACCACAAGCTGCGCAGCCGAGTGCCGCTGCCAAACCCAGGCAAGTCTGCAAAAGCACCACTGCGCTCGCCTCCAAACCATCTTTGTGGCCCTGGATAGCCTGAAACCGATGTATTTTTCATTAGCTGATTGCTACGACAGAGACAGATCTGAACGTACAATAGATTGAATAAGTGGTTAATTGAAGAGGGGTCTGTCGGATCGATAGTGTTGAGAGACGTTTGACGAATAGGTTTGGTCTAGTTTGTTGCAGAAAGAAAGGTGATGGTACGTGTTTAATTACGAGCTTTTTCGTTTAATATCGTCATGGTGGGTCAGTAAGTTGCGGATGTTCGTGCAAATTCATATTTTTATGAAGGTAATTGAAAAATAGAATTTAGGTGGAATATTGTTTTATCTGCTAAATATTATAAATAGAACCGTGTTTTGGATATTTCATATATTTTTCCTATCACCTGTACGATCTGACCAAGACTTTTGATAACGTGGAAGAAAAATCGGAAGAGAAATGAATCCAAAGCTAGGAAGATCTTTCAGGATTTAGATCGGATTTTAGATTTACGGAATCGACAAAGGGAGAAAGTTATTGTTAGTATCATACAAAGTGAGAGAACTCAAAGGGGACTATAATTATTCTGTGTGAAAGATTAAAAGATAAGTCTGTTAGCTGTATTACGTTTTCCTGTCTCGATTCTAATAATTCTACTTTGTGTATGCTTTCAAATATACAGTTTTCACAGTTCTACGGTCTGTGAATTAAATTTCTGTTCACATCGATTTTCAACGTCATCCACTGCGAAGAATATCACGTTGGTAGCAGTTTCATGAACTCCTATCAGATCAGAAATACTAACTGACGCGTGTAGGCGTACAGAAATTGAGACAGGGCGCGCAGAAGCGAGGTCAACCGCGATTATGAACGTGTAAACCGCCTAACTTTGCCGAAACTTCACTCGAGAATGAAGTTGCCAACTGTGGCCCGTTCTCTGATTGCTGCTACCGAGTAATACGCGTGTTTCTGGCAGTTTGACGATTCAGCCTTTCGGATGGTCCGACCATAGTATTACAAACTGGCCAGTGATCGGTTAGTTAGCCTTTTGTTGAAAAGTTAACTCCGCTGAATCGTTGTATGTCTCGTATCATCAGTTACTATCTATTTTATAGTGACAAATAAAACCTGCGATGCTTCTGTTAATTCATGATTCCATTATTTCTCGATTTTTAAAGCCTATACAGATGCGAAATATGAAGATAATGTTCGTAGGTGTTTAATGTTTAAAGAATTTCGGCAATCGAAGCACTCAGAAGCCACACTGACTCAAATGCATAAGTCGAGAAATAGGGAAAATTGATGTTACAAACTTTAATACAACGTTAAATTGACTTTGGCATTTGCTATAAATGGATTTATGAAAATAAATCACATATTTCTTAGGAAATGAACATCAGTTACGCTATGTATGTAATAAAATTGAAAAATTTACAAAGAGTGAAATTGATCTGTCGAATATATAGTACATTCGTATTGTACATGCGAGAGTGAGGGAACGTAGAGCGAAAACACACACAAGTATGTATCCTCTCCCTGGTACGAAACACCAAATAAAGTTCTTTGTAATACCTTTCCAAATTCTCCCTATACCTTAACATGATCAATTTGGTTTTTTCAGAGGCTTGATTAACAGTCGAGTTTCGCAACAGGGCTAATGAAACTTGAAAATGTTTCGCGCAACACACGCGATATAAAATTAAAAGAAACGAACGATCCATCGTAACGACAGGTAAATTAGAATATTTCGCGACGTAATTGTTGCTATCGTCTCTTTTCTCGTCGAATTGCTGAACAACGAAAAACCTGAATTTTCGTTTAACAACGTAATACATTGGCAAAATTACAGGCGTTCGAATACTATCGCCAGCCTATATACAGCCGAGAAACGTTGCAATATCAAACTTCTCAACTCTGAGAGCCAAGAACAGGCTCCAGCCTAAAGGCAGTTGCTTGGTAGAGTAATTAAGGTACTCACGATGTAAAAGGCGGGCGTATAAAGGCCGAAACCGGCTGCCCCAGCGGCCAGCATCAACATCCTGACAGGCCGACTACCTAGAGGGCTGAGATCCACCCATGGCTGTCTTGGTGGCTTCGATGCGGTCTTCTTCTCTTTCAACTTGCCACCTCGTTGATTCTTCACGTGTAACATGGCCCGTCGTTGCGGATGATAGAGAGAGGCGCTTCTGTAAATCAAGCCCAGGAAGAAGGCCAACGACAGAGCTCCGGTTACCGACTGCATGCCACGCTCCCAGCCCAGCTTTCTGCGGAAACACCGTGTCGTTATGGTTACAGAATAGAATTTTTTTCTTTTCTCTGCTTACGATCCACTCTTACGCAACTTTCCTCCCTTCGCCATCAAATCCTTCCATTACTTTTTTCCCTCCTTCTATTTGTATTTCTATCGTATCTGTCAATCTTTTGTATCGGTCAAAAACGTTTGTTCGTGTAATTCCATTCTTATATACCTCTGTTCGTGAATATCGGACTGTTGGAAAAAATTCGCAACGTTTTTGCCAGCTGATTCATTCCACTGTATTACACTTGTCGTGTAATCTCACTTTTCTTACGAACACATAAGATCTTCAATCTGTTTTTCTAAACTTTGTTATGAACTTTCTGAATACTTTGTTTGTTAATTAAAACGGACACAGGGGAGTTGAAAATATAAGAAAGTGGAATTCAGAATTGTACAGTGAAATTCTATCTTTTGATGTACATTCGTAAAGTGATAATTGCAACGATGCCATAAATATTTGTAATTATTGATCACTTGACTGCGGTTTTTTCTACAAATTCATATTTTTATTAACGGAACTGTTAAAACGCAATCTGCGTGAAGATTTATTCGATCCATTAAATATTGTAACATTCGTATTATACATTTTGCACATTCTCGCAATTATTAATTTTTCGTAAATGCGTCAAAATCTGCAGTCTATTCACAGCGATGTACCTCGATATTCATTCAATAAATTCTACTCGCAATAAGTTTAATAAAGTCACACCGATGGTTCTATTGTGTTGACAACTAAGTGATTGCGGATTTTGTCAATACCATCTAATGACAAAATCCGCAATCACTTAGCTGCC